GTAATTATATCTGCAAATGGTTAGACCTTCAAGTCTTCTCGGACAAGGACTTAAAACCGTAGGCCCTGTCTCCCAACCCTTCCTAACCTACAGTAAACGGCGGGGGACATAAAAGAACCTGTTGAATTATTCGTATAAGAGAAGGGGATTGTCTCCCGCTTCAACAGCCTTACCCAATTTAGTTTGGTTTGGTTTAGGTTAATCAGATTTGTCAACATTACACTACAACACGGTTAAGCTTCACATGGAAACATGCACGGTGGACAGATACGAGAGGCCAAGAGGCCGAGGAGACTGAAAAAACAGGATGGTAGTCCCAATTGACTTTTTATCCCTAACGTACACTGTGAAAGTGGAACGGTCGAAGTAGCCACCAAACCGGTCATTCCAGGCACGTAAATCTTGAAATCTTGAATGAACAATTCATTATCCCCCCCCCCCCCCCCCCCCCCCCCCCCCCCCCCCCAACCACTCCACTCCCACAGTGTATTTCAAACTAATGAAAAGATTAAATTAAATCTATACAAACATTTCATAAGATACACATTAATGAAATATTAATGAAATTGATAGACTATGGTGGCCGGTATGTAGACAGTTTCTCAACGTAGTGAGTAAAAAGAAGGCTCTTAAATACAGAGAGACTAATAGCATGTTTAATGTCTGAAGATAGACTGTTCCATAACTTAATAGTTTTAGGGAAGTAGGAATTGAGGAAATAATTCTGTTTATGCTGAGTAATGGGACGGTAGTTAGCTGAGTCAAAACTTCTTGTAGAGTAACGTGAGGTAGCAGGTACGTGAGGAAGCGAGCAAAGTTTGCAGTAATAGAACCAGACCTAATCTTGTATAGTAGTATCAAATCACTAATTTCTCGTAGATTCTAATGGTAAAAGCTTTAGAGTCTTCAGTCTTTTCGTGTAACATATATCAGAGGGTGAATAATTTAGAATAAACTTAGTTGCACGTCTCTGTATGTTCTCTATTAACGCTTTGTATTTAGCCGTGTATGGCGACCATAGGCTTCACGCATATTCAAGGCGGGGCCTTACTAGAGTGCAGTATAGAAGCTGCCTTGTCGAAGTGTCAAGTATGTCCCAACAAACTCTTTTCACAAGACCTAACATTCTGTTTGCCTTCATACACATGTATTCAATATGTGGTCCCCATGACAGGTCCTTAGTCACAATGACACAAAGGTCTGTGGTCTGATTCAAGGGCTTGTCCAGCCAAGTGGTAAATTTTCTGAGGATTCTTGACAGATCTCTTCTTGGACATTTGTAGAACCTTGCACTTTATAGTGCTAAACTCCATTGCGTGTTCTAAGCTCCAATTACTCAAAGAGTTCAGGTCACACTGCAACGAGACTTGCAGAGTCTATACTACGGTACAGTTTTGAGTCGTCCGCATATAGAGCAATACTCGATTCTTGACTCACATAACTTGGTATTTCATTTGAATACACAAGGAAAAGCAGGGGCCCTAGAATTGACCCCTGCGGAACTCCAGATTTCGCGGGCAACCAGGAGGAAGAAGTCCCGTTGAGCACTACACGTTGTTGTCTCCCCGTTAAATAGCTAGCAAACCAATCGAGGAGAGAGCCTGTGATACCGTATTCCCACAACTTCAACAGGAGAAGATGATGTCCTTGTCGAAGGCCTTGGAGAGGTCTACGTGAATGACATCTACCTCCCCGCCCCTTGCTAAACTGTTCAAGATGTCACTATAGACTTCCAAAAGTTGCGTCACAGTTGATTTGCCTTTCAGGAAGCCATGTGGTAAAGGGACGGTAGAAAATGAGCAAGACAATGGTTGAAAACACAACGTTCAAGGACTTTGGATACAATATAAAGCAACGAAACAGGTCTGTAGTTTTCTACGAGAGATGAGTCATTTTTCTTGAAATTAGGAGAAATGTTAGCTTTTTTCCAGAGCGCTGGAACTGAGCCAAGCGATAGGCACATATTAGAACGTTTTCCAACAACCGGGGTTAAAAATTCTAATGAGTTTGCTAATATGCTAATGATCTACGTACCGTACTG